CTCGTGGTTTGAGTCGTTTGGGGTTTCTTGTCCTGGTGTGAGTCGTTCGGGCCCTTCTTCCTGGTGTGAATCGTTCGGGCTCTTCGTGATGTGAGTCGTTCGGGCTCTTCGTCCTGGTGTGAGTCGTTCGGGCTTCTCGTGGTGTGAGTTGTTCGGGCCCCTCGTCGTCGTGTGAGTCGTTCGGGCCCCTCCTCCTGGTGTGACTCGTTCGGGCTCCTCGTGGTGTGAGTCGTTCGGGGCCCTCGTCGTGGTGTGAGTCGTTTTGGGAGCCTCTTGGAGGCCTTTTGGGGCGTCTTCGGGGCCTCTTGGCGGCCCCAGGGGCTTCTAGGAGCGTCTGGGGTGCCTTGGGGGAGCCTCTTGGGGCCTCTTGGGAGCCTCTTGGAGGCGGTTTGGGGCGTCTTGGGGGCCTCTTGGCGGCTCCAGGGGCTTCCAGGAGCGTCTTGGGTGCATCGGGGGAGCCTCTTGGGGCCTCTTGGGGGCCTCTTGGGAGCATCTTGGGGGCCTCTTGGAGGCCTCTTGGGGGCTCTTGGAGGCCTCTTGGAGGCCTCTTGGAGGGGTCTGGGAGGAATCTTGGGGCCATCTGTCGGGCGATCGATCACAGATGGGGGGAGCACTTTTCTCCCTCCCCCCGTCGGGGCCAGAATCCTCGTGAGGGGTGTCGAATTTTAGCCCTCCCAGGAGTCGAAAAAGACCCCTCCGGCGACCCGCGGAGGGACCTCTCCAGGCCCAGGGGGAGGGGGTAGGGGGAGGGGTAAACCCCTCCCCGAAGGGGAAGAAGGGGGGGTGAGAACAGAGCGGGCTCTTTAAACCACTCACGCCCAAAGGGCTGGTGGGATTATCCTGGCGAAGGACCCAACCATATGCAGTTGTGAGTAACGCGTTGTTGGTGACGTTTTCGGTGAAATTCCTTATGGGGCCACGAAGCGCGTGAGGGACGTGCCGAAAAGGGTGGGGGAGACGCATGCGGGTGGTGCCACTGGCGTCTTCAATGGTGCTCCCCATGGGCCACGAAACGCTGTTCTGGGTGGTGGCTGACGCATGCGGGCGGTGCCCCTCGCTGGAGCTCCCGATGAGGCCACGAAACGCTGTACTGGCCGGGGGAAACGCATGCGGGCGGTGCCGCTGGGGTCTTTCTCTGGAGCTCCCTACGGGGCCACGAAACGCTGCACGGGGGGGGGCGCATGCGGGTGGTGCCACTGGGGCCTTCGGTGGAGCTCCCTACGGGGCCACGGGAGGGGAGGGGCGCATGCGGGCGGTGCCACTCGGGCCTTCGGTGGAGCTCCCTATGGGCCCACGAAACGCTGTACTGGGTGTGGCTGACGCACGCGGGCGGGCTACTGCAGCTCCCTACGGGGCCACGAAACTTTGCACCTGGTGGGGGGGGCGCATGCGGGCGGTGCCACTGGGACCTTCGGTGGAGCTCCCTACGGGGCCACGAAAGGCTGTACTGGGTGGTGGTTGACGGATGCGGGCGGTGCCAGTGGGGCCTTCGGTGGAGCTCTGTATGGGCCGACGAAACGCTGTACTGGGTTGTGGCTGACGCATGCGGGCGGTGCCACTGGGACCTTCGGTGGAGCCCCTTTGCGGGGCCACGAAACGGTGTACCGGGCGGGGGGGACGCATGCAGGCGGTGCCATTGGGGCGTGGTGGAGCTCCAAAACAATGGGGCCGCGAAATGCAATATTGGGTGGTGGACGACGCATGCGGGCGGTGCCATTGGGACCTTCGGTGGAGCTCCCTACGGGGCCACGAAACGCTGTGCTGGGTGGTGGCTGATGCATGCGGGCGATCCCACTGGGACCTTCGGTGAAGTTCCCCATGGGGCCACGAAGCGCTGTATTGGGTTGTGGCTGACGCATGCGGGCGGTCCCAATGTGACCTTCGGTGGAGCTCCCTACGGGGCCACGAAACGCTGTACTGGGTGGTGGCTGACGCATGCGGACGGTGCCACTGGGGCCTTCGGTGGAGTCCTTTGTTGGGACACGAAACGCTCTGCTGGGTGGTGGCTGACGAATGCGGACGGTGCCACTGGTGCCTTCGGTGGAGCTCTGTATGGGACCACGAAACGCTGTTCTGGGTGGTGGCTGCCGCATGCGGGCGGTGCCACTGGTGCCTTCGGTGGAGCTCCCTACGGGGCCACGAAACGGTGTCTTGGGTGGTGGCTGACGAATGCGGGCGGTGCCATTGGGGCAGTCGGTGGAGCTCCCTGTGGGGCCACGAAACGGTGTAAAACGTGGTGGATGACGCATGCGGGCGGTGCCACTGGGACCTTCGGTGGAGCTCCCTACGGGGCCACGAAACGCTGTGCTGGGTGGTGGCTGAAGCATTGGGGCGGTACCACTGGTGCCTTCGGTGGAGCCCCCTGTGGGGCCACGAAGCGCTGTGCTGGGCGGTGGACGACGCATGCCGGCGGTGCCACTGGGACCTTCGGTGGAGCCCCCTATGGGGCCACGAAGCGCTGTGCTGGGTAGTGGCTGGCGCATGCAGGCTTCGGTGGAGTATCCTACGGGGCCACGTGGCGTTGTACTGGGTGGGTGAGACGCAGGGGGGAGGGGGAGGAGGAAAGAGGAGGAGTGGAGGA